ATGCACAGTCTGGCCCGCTTAGCCAGTAATGCTACGACCTAGGGCCCCACCTACGCCTGTCCAACCTAGATTTAAGGATGCAGTGATTTTTCTTGGCCAGGCATTGTGGTGCCGTAGGCCTTATCACCAAAACAAAAGATAGGTTGCCAGGCAATGAAACATACGCCCACAGCAGCTATATCGTCCAGGCAGTCAACAAGAGTTGTCACACATTGTCGGTAATGAAACATTTATAATACATTAAAATCTGATTAAACATACATTATGCAAGAGCTAAATCTGAATATTGCAAGTCTTAATTTAGGCGCCAGATGTTATAGAAATTATAAATTAGATCTTTATTTAAACAACAAACCCAAAATCAACTCTGTAGACCCACGGATGACTCGGCTACAGCTTTGATTTAAATAGGATTTCACTGATTGATTAAATCAAATATGGCACCCCATGCAGAGATTATTAACCGTTACATTGACTTCATCAGTTAGATCGAGGCTAAATGATAGAGTGTATGAAGCGAGGTCGCTGTTGAGCGATACCGAATGTCAGTCAATTTGATTGAAAGTTTGATACATACGGATTTGATATTATGTTCAGTTGTGGTTAAAATGAGAGTTTGGATTTTGGTATTATACGCTCTTTTGTCACTTGCGTTTACAGAAAAATTGATAAACATCGCAGCTAACATCACCCCAGTTGAATTGCAGCCCCATTGGATCACTGTAGTGTTTCCTATTTGTCTCAGTCTGCTTCAGGAGTCAAGAGTACACGCAGGCTAACAAGAAGTAGGCTATAATTATGCCTCATTGATTTGGTCCATTCCTTTCAAACTTTCGCTTCTTATCTATATATAATAAAAGTCTTATTTTTAATTTATAGTAAAAATAAATGTGATACGAATTGAACTGCAACCCCATCTCAAGCCATTGAAAACGTTACTTGATAATTGAGATTATGTACATGTAGGTTGAGTTAACGCCTGTCAATCAAACGATCGGCCACGGTGAAGATATATTTGATTACCATTTCTAGTCAAATATTACAGAATAATTCAGAATAAAGTAATTTGACTGAAATTTCAATATATTCTTCTTTCATCATCTACTTTTGAACTGTTATAGCAAAAATGGCCAAATCTCTATAAAAATCTCCCATAATGTATCTTTAAGAGTAACAACTCAAAGTAATTATCAGAAAACCATTAGAATTTGTTTGGTTTTTATAAAGTTCTGCCCCATGCTAACGTTTTTTACATGTAGTATACAAAACTTTTAACATCATGGATTTAGCTGTTCAAGTCATAAAGATTCATTGAAAATCAATATACATGTACTTGTTCGTCTCAAGACCTTAAACTTAAACACTGTGTATAAATTTAAAGTCAATCGGATATTAACTTTAGCCTCTAGAGTGTCCAAAAGATTTTTCAAAGTGATCAAGGGCCATAATTCTGGCAAAAATTATCAGAATTCGCTGAGAATCACTAGGCTTCTTCGTCTCATGGTCTCAACACTGTATATAAATTTAAAGTCAATCGGATATTTACTTTAGTCTCTAGAGCGTCCACAAGAATTTCCAAAGTGATCAAGGGCCATAACTCTGGCAACCAGCGGCTGCCAGGTAGGATACGCCCACATTTTCGACAGATGGATAGAGAACAAGCTAAAAAGAAAGTGATTTTTCGTACATCCAGGGGCCATAATTCAGGAAGTTATAAACTTACATTTCAAGTTTCAACAGAATCGAATAAAAATTGTGACCTCTATAGGGTCCACAACCTTGATATAACATATTTTTACACTACATGTATTTGACAACGAAGGGTGGTCATTTTTTCTGTCAGTTTTGTGACGATTTTCACGAAATTCGAACTCAGCCGACCTTAGGGTGTAACGGTGATATAATAATAGGTTTTTTTAGATGGGATCCACAAGCTAAAATCATGATTTTTTCGTACAATCAGGGGCCATAATTCAGGAAGTTACGTTCTGATATGCGCGAATATCGAAAGGTACCAAGATCTTTGGGTTATAAACTTACATTTCAAGTTTGATCAAAATAGGATTTAAATTGTGACCTCTATAGGGTCCACAACCTTGATATACCATATTTTTACCCTATTTGAGAACGAAGGGCGGCCATTTTGTCAGTCAGTTTTGGGCCGATTTTCACGAAATTCGAACTCAGCCGTCCTTAGGGTGTAATGGTTATAATAATGTTTTTTTTAAATCGGATAAAAATTATGACCTCTATAGGGTCCACAAGCTAAAAACACGATTTTTCGTACAATCAGGGGCTATAATTCAGGAAGTTGCGGTCCAATATGCGCAAATATCAAAAGGAACCATGATATTTAGGTTATAAACTTACATTTCAAGTTTCAAAAAAATCGTATAAAAATTGTGACCACTATAGGGTCCACAACTCAGCCGTCGTTAGGGTTAAACGGTGATATAATAATACATTTTTTTAAATCAGATAAAAATTATGACCTCTATAGGGTCCACAAGCTAAAAACGCGATTTCTCGTACAATCAGGGGCCATAATTCAGGAAGTTACGTTCCGATGTGCGCGAATATCGAAAGGAACTGAGATCTTTGGGTTATAATCATACATTTTAAGTTTAAACTAAATCGGATAAAAATTGTGACCTCTACAATCAGGGGCCATAATCCATGAAGTTACAGTCCGATACATGCCAATATCGAAAGGAACCGAGATCTTAGGGTGATAAACCTATATTTCAAGTTTCATTGAAATCGGATAAAAATTGTCACCTGTAGACTGTTCACAAACAATTGTGGACGGACGGGGGCGACGACAATATACGTCCACATGACGACAATATACACATATGAAAATATCGGCGTATAAAAATTATCAGAAATCGCTGAAAATCAATAAACTTCTTCGTCTCATGACGGACAGGGACAGGGGCGACAACAATATACGACCACATTTCAATGTGGCCATATAAAAACAAAAAAACGCCCGCCCACAGGGCACCCGACGTCCCTTACGTAGGGATGTCCGACTAGCAGTAGCCCTCGGGATGATCACTTATTAAATACATTATTTTAATATTTTCGTTGTTTTTGTTGTTATTACTAGTTGAAACTAAAATAGGTCACGCACTTTGTGAACAATGACGATCGCACGTGATATAGTAAAATTAGAATTATCTCCCTTCTTTGCTCTTGATTGATTTGTAGAGAAATTGTCTGCTTTCACGATAAAACTAATTGTATTATTAATGATCAACTCAGCTTTTATTACTAAATCATGTCAGATACAGCCCATACAAACCACGTTTTTGACTTCCCGGGAAAATATCTATATCTCTCGTAATTTCTTGGAAGAATTCTACTTTGGTTTTCGTCAAAATTAACCAATCATAAAAATTCTACTTTGAAAGCCGGTAATTATTTTTTTATTGTCCAATCAATAGACGCCTTCTATTATATTTTATTCTATTATTAGTAAAACTGTTTGATCGCCAGTAACTTGCAAAGAGAAACCATGTATTGTCTTTGTATTTATCGGAGATATTGGAATAAAAAAAAGGTTCAAATGAATCAAGAACAAAACTTAGAATAATACTCAAGTTAATCCTACATTTAGCAACTAATTATTTTACATTAATTGATTTTTTTACGTACATCGGCACAGTATTAGACTAGGATAATAACACTACTTTTTCTCGATCAACACAAATAACAGGTCGGTAAAGTTCGGTTTTTCCGGAAGAATGATAATCGATTATTATCGATAATCGCTGACAAATTCTTGCCGATAATCGATATTGAAATTTCATATCGATTCCCAGCCTTAGTCCCCATTTCTTCACAGAGTAAAACACTCTTTTTGCCCCTGCAAGGTCACATTATCATATCTAGGATATCGATCTCACACTAGAATTCTTAGATTAACTCATAGATCTCCTGTTTGCTTTCTTTTGGATACAGTAAGTTCGGAATACTGAGAGCCGCATGGCGGATCATCATCACGGTAATCCATTAAATAGTCCGGTACTCCAGTCAAAGTTCACTTCGCGCGCACAGATTACTCATCAGAAATTAGACGGAGATTCGCACATGCACGAGGGTAATCTGTCCAAGGAGGGTAATTTGCGTTCAACATATATATGACTATTGGAATCAACTATTATAATTTTAAACGAATAAAAAATAGAACTCAGTTTTTGCCAAACTGACATTACTTACCTTAAATTACTTTTATGAAATTGTAAATGGCATTAGGCATCACATGGTCATGGTGAAAATTTGATCAAAATATTAATTGACACTTTGATGGACCAAAAACATTGAAATGTTACTTATAGAAAGATAGGTTGCCAGGCAACAAAACATACGCCCACAGCAGCTAAATCGTCCGAGCAGTCGACAAGGGTTGTCACATATTTTTTCTTTTGTAGTTTATTAGGGGAATTTAATTGACAATTTCATATTCTGCTCCGAACTGGGCTAATGAAGACGGGCATACGCCATACAGTGTGCTATTAGGGAAATTTTGCCCGGACAGCGGCACAACGGCCTACTCTTATATCGAATTCCATTTGTCAATGTGTACACGGGCCTCGGTTTTTCGTCCCACCCAAACGATTAGATAACCTTGTCGCGCCCTCCCGTCCTGCATCACTGACAAGGGGGGACCACACACGAAAATCTGGATGAACTTTCTTGGCCAATGCAGGGATCGAACACCCGACCCCCAGACTAGTACGTGAGCCAGCAACTTACCCACTTAAAATCTATGCATGTAATTCTACATAATTAAAGTTATTATTAATATTATAACAACCTGCCATTATTAATCAATGGCACTAGATCTAATGCTTCTAAAAAGTTGAAGTATGCAATATTATGGTTATTGAATGGACCAATTACTTTAACATTGTGTGTTTCATCCACGGCACGTTCTCATAAGTGCTTAGGTACGGAACCGTAACACAGTAAATATGATATATAAGTAAATTTACCTCAACACAACATACGTTGAACTTTGACAACACACATTATGGCGGCAATTTCCGTCAACATTTTATACAAAAGAAAAATCACGTGATATATTGAAAAGTAGTACCACGTACAGCTGGATATTGAATTCCGCGAGTTTAAAAAAAGTGAAAACGACACTTTGAATAATAATACTAAAAAACAATTTAATCACATTGTCGAATATGTCGTATAGAAATAGCAGACTATTGTTGTTAACAATTGACAATTATAACTCAGGGGAACTCTTTTGTATTAAACCGGACAGCTAAAAACATTGATTAGCGGTGAAAAGGCCAATCATGGAAAAGTAAAAGAACTTTTAAGAACTAATTATTTTACATAACACTGTTACATGTGAAAGGCTATCAAATATGAAATGTTTAAAACCCTTATCTAGCATCATTTACAGGAGAAACAAGCCGTTACTAGCTTTGCATGGTGAATGGTTGTTTTGGATAGAATTACCTAGCTATCCACATTACGTTTAAATAACGTTGTAGTAACGTCACGGAACAGATTCGGTCGGGCCTGCTCAGGGACTAAACGCATGTTTTGCGATTTTATTTTTTTTATATGAAATATCATGTTCGTGCGATATATCAACTAGTGTATTAAAAGGGGGGGGGGGGCGCGTCGAATTAACCAATAACAACCCAATAACTCCAAATTGTTGACTTTGGAAACACAAAATAACAATTTAGTTGAATTTAAGAAGCCCTTGCTTTGAGCCCAAATCAAAGTTTCACGCTCACTCGTGTGAAGGGAGATAACCTGTGTATGTGATGTGTTGACAAGAACATAATGTATACTTTCGTTGCAATTCGTTGTAATATATTGTAATTAGTGATTGATTACGTCAATAACAGTGAGTGGAAAAGGTCCTTAAGATGCGATTGGGGATTTCTCAATATAGCAAATAACCCATCGCTATGCAATATTACCATATACTACCCAGAATTATCAAATAATAATCCAATATCCTCAAATATCTGCATACCAGTATAATTACTGCAACGAATAGCTGCTTATCACCTAATAAATACCCAATAACACCCAATAACTCCAAAATAACTTCAGAGTAGTTTTGAAAAATTCTACATTGGGTAAACATGATGTTCGAGGCATTTTAAATAGTTTATTAGAACTGTAATTATATGCATGAAACGATATTATGGTAAATATATACAGGGCAATAAAAAAATCTGATATTATAGCTATATTTATTTATTTATATTTGCAAATTGTGTCCATTGTATTGTATTGTTTTATATGTCTTATAAGGATTAAGGTAATATTGTAGTTCATAATTATTTTGTAGACAGCGAGGTTACATCTAGTAGACATACATATAACGCTTTGTACATTTTGAATGTTATCAATCATCTTGAAGACGTTGTGTTAATTCGTTTATAAATTGATGTTCGTTACTGACACCTTGTGAAATCCACACATTACCAAACCCATTTTCTTCTAGAATACACTTAACATTATCTAACCAGGGGTTATATTACCATTCAACAGACCTTCATACATATCGCTATAACATGAATCAAGTAACATATTTTTACCTTTTAACAATTTAAGCCAATATTTTATCATACATATTTTTCTATATATTTGAAGTGGAAAAATATCCAATTCCTGATAAATTAGTGCATTGCATGTTGATGTTCTTACTCCAAGTATTTTCTTAAAGAAAGTTAACTGTACCTTTTCAACGTCATCTGCAGAATGATAACCCCACATTTCACTACTGTAATTTAATATGGGAACTATACATGTGGTAAATAGGGCTATTGAAGTTTGCAAATTAAAATAATTTTCCCGGATTATTCTTTTTAAACCAAAACATGCCTTAGAAGCTTGCTGTGCAATTGTCTTTTGGGTAAGACTGAATTTACCATTATGGTTAAAGACCTCACCTATAAACATGTAGTTAAAAGATTTTACAGTTTCAAAATCCTTTCCTTCATATGTCCAGGTTTCATTTTCTCTAAGCAGCAAAATAAACGTCAGGTTGGTATGTTACTCTGAATAGACACATTGCATAAAACTTGCCAAATGTTTTATTGTATATTTGTGACCACATCTTCAACTTTACCTAAGCAATAAGGCTCCTTCCCAAACACAGAATTGAACCCAGGAAATGTTCTCAAAAACGAAAACTGACTTCAGAGATGGTAATGTGTTCTCCATGATTTTCATGTAACTCATGTTGCACGTGCTTTTCACCGGGACCAGCCCTATAAAATGCACCCCCATATCTGGTTGAATCATTCACACTACAACGTCAGCAGCACACCACGACTCACGACAGCTCAGAGGAACCAGGTGCTTGGAAGACTCGACGCTGGCCACACTGCCCAAGCCGTTGCCAATCACTTCCAGGTCAATGTTCGGACCATCTACAGGCTTCAGCAACGCTTTTGGGCCACCAACACCACGGATGATCGCCCCGAACTGGTAGACCAAGGGTTACCACAAGGCGACTAGACCGCTATGCTGTGCGACTGCACGTGCAGAATCCCTTCACACAGGCATCTGAGACAGCACGTCAGACATTGGGAACACACGGAAGAGCCATCAGTACCAATACAGTGCGCAGACGTCTCACCAGAGAGAACATCCATTGCCGTAGACCTTACCGTGGACCGACCCTCATCCCTCGCCATCGACGTGAACCTCTACAGTTTACCCATCAGTACCAATATAGGGAGAGGAGGTGGCATCACAGCAGTGCGCTACATCCATCAAGCGTCATACCACATTTCGCACGTCATCGAAACAACATTTTCCAGCATGACAACGCCCGTGCCCACACCGCCAGAGTTACTCGGTACTTTGTACAGCAAAACGGTGTCAACGTTATGCACTGGCCAGCCCTTAGTCCGGACTTAAACCCGTTTGAACATCTTTTGGATGAAATTCAGAGGAGACTTAATAACGTCGTACCGAGACCAAACACAGCCGATGGATTGCGCCAGGTTTTTCTGAGAGTGGTACCAGGTGCCAATGGCGTTCATCAATCGCCTGGTCCCCTCCAAGTACAGACGCTGCGCTGCTGTTATTGACACCCGCGGTGGACACACCAGATACTGATGTATAGACTGTGTACAGAGTCTAAACATTCTCGTAATATTTTGGAATTGTGATGAATTAATCACTAATGTGTCAACATACTGATCACAAAAAATGGCTTTGATCCATTTATTAAGTCGTTTTCGAGAATGATTTGAATAAAGTGCCTCTCAGATTTTAAAATCGTGCTGACGGGTTTTTTTTATGTTTAGTATATAAATTTACATCATTTATTGTCAAATATTCACAATTTCCGGATTCTTGCGCTCCCTCGATGTCTCTGACATATAGGGCGTAATGTTTAGGGGAGAGGGATTCTCCTTGCATCAGTCCTGTGGTTAAATGGAAATAATCATAATAGTTACCCCGAAACATTACGCGAGCCACGAGCTTTGAATACATGGATTTGAGTAAAGTTAGGAACTTTCCAGTAATATTGTTTCTTACCAGTTTATTCCATAGTTTGCATGGCCGTATACAGTCAAATGGCCTGGAAAAATCTAAGAACCCACAATATAGCCCAGATGTTTTCCTTAATAACTTCTGGATCACATTATTAAGAACAAAGGTGACATCTCTAGTTCCGAGTCCGGGTCGAAAACCGAAGAAAGATTCTGTCAAGACCTTATTATTTTCATTAAATTCAGAGAATCTTTTTGTCAATACTGCAGTAAACAGTTTCCCTAAATGACTTAAAAGTGTTTTACCCCTATAATTACTGGCTGTATTCGGGTCACTTCTTTTAAACAATGGCACTATGTCACCAAGGAACCACTGATCAGGAAATTCGCCGTTTTTGAGAATATGGTTAAAGACTTATAGAGTAGCATTCTGAATTCCATGAAATATTCATTTAGCAGTTTATCCTGTCCAGTACTTTTATCCCGACTTAATCTATTGATGGTTGAATTGATCTCCGATTCACTAATTTCACAGTCAAGTTCCTCAAAAATAGTTCCTGGTATATCTTCATCTTCATTTTCAGCGTTAGCAACATTTTCACCCACTAAATTGTTGAAATGTTCGAAAATTTCAGTTGTAGAGAACCTTGTATTTGGTTGAGGTTTAAATTTCTTAAGCCGTTTAAAAATAGTTTTGGATTATGTTGTCTTGTATATTCGAGCATATTTCCTTCTATACATAAGTCGTCTCGCTTTAGACGTCTTTCAACCCTTTTATAAACCGCCTTATGTTGAGCAAGTTCAATACGATTCTTTTTACTTTTGTCTGTATTTAATTTATGTCATGTACTTTTATATACATGATAAAGTTTATTGCATTCATCACTGAGCCACGGTTTGTTGGTGGGTCTGGACTTTTTAGCACAATTTTGACACAGATCATAAGTTTGCCTGATTTTATATGGTTTTTTTTCTTCATAAAACGGGGACAAGATATCACAAAGTCCTCTATTTAGATTGGATATGATTTGCGTGACTGACATATTTGCGCTAATGGCGTCAGCCAAGTTCAATTTTATTTCATCAATGTTCTCAAGAAGTTTTGAAAAGATCCTCTGCTTTTGATCAGCGTTCCATCTTACCGACACCGACTCCGTTTTGCTTGCGAATGCACAATCACATGGTGATCTACTGCGCCGATTAGAACACGAGATATTTGTAAAAAAAAAAAAAAAATGAGGCGTGGTCTGATAATTCTGTAAATTTACCAACAACAAAGTCATTCACTATAGTCGATTATACTATATAGTACCGTTTTTGTTTTGAAATGTGATTTGTGTATCATTAACACTTCTGCCATTTTGAATACGGAAATTACCTGACCTACATAGTGCTAACAGTTTATTACCGATGCCGTTAGGGTAGACATCATCTTCAGTTCTTCTAACCACATCAAAATCACCATCTTCTTCATAGTCTATAAATTCACTTAAAACATCATACACATCTTTATCAAGTCTATTATTCTCATTCCCTCTACCTACCTTACTATTAAAGTCCTCCATAAGTGCCACAATCCCCTTATTTTTATAATGACA